TGTGAAATTCGTGTTGTGGCTTGTGGCGCCATTCTGTTGGAACCACATATTGTCCAAGTCCATATCGTCCAATTCGGGCGAAAAAAATTCGGTTATCATTGAGCGGTAGTGATTCCCATTCATAGTAACGTGCCGGTCTTGGTCATCATGGAAGAAGTACGGCCCAATGACCCCGCCGGCCCATAAACCGCACCAAACCCTAATTTTTTCGAGATGCAATGGTGACCCTGGAATACATGTGGATTACTACCTGATCAATAACGCATATTTTGCTTATTGACGAAGCCATTCATCCAGAAAGAATTTTCAAGTTGTTGCTCAGCCCAATTCCGGAACATACGATAATTCCGGTGGTCCAGCGACTTCAGTTCTTGGGTCGGTTTGATCTTGCAGGCCCAACGCTTGAGAACGACATGTGACAGACTGCTTTGATTCTTACTCAATTTATGCACTAGCGGGTGCAATATTCTCGACATAACGGGCAGTTCTTTGCCTCACTGACACGGGGACATTTTGTACTGTGCCTGAGTATACATATTTCCCCACTAGACGCTCAACAGATCACAGAGTGATCTGATAGGACGATTATGACGACCATAAATTAGTTGGTTAATGTTGAGACCACTGACTCCGAATTTCAGTAGTAAATTTTAATAATTTCAACTCGCGTTGAATCGTATATCTTTCCATGATGAGATGGCAAGCCTTACCGAAGGGAAATGTCAAACGAGCGGGAAAAATATGGCGTTGTTCCTATCGTCCTTATCGGTCCACTTTTGTAACGTCCCTATTGAAAAGCCCGTTAATAGCGTTAAGCTGTTTTCTCACGATCCAAGATTAATATGTAACTTCTAACAAGATATAAATTTACATATCCGTATATGTATGTATATGGTATACACACATTCGCATTTATGTGTACATACACGCATTTTTAAAATCAGTTTAACTCTTCAAGATACTTTTAGCTACATGTATGAAACCACAACATAATCAAAACATTATTTTGGCTATTAATCACATACATACATATATAAATCGATTCAGGGCATTAAATAATTACGCTTTCAATAGTGAAGATGATCAAACTCTCTTGAATATAAACCAAATGATGTTTCAGTAAGCGTACAATGTTTGTTGTATAAGCCAATAATATAAAATATCAAACACAAGATCATATTGTACTGCATATAGGACATAAGAAAAATTAACAAATCATAAAATCATCATTTATCATCATTATATGGAGCCAAAAAATGTTCTGCATGCCAGTAGGCAGTGCATTACAGGTACATACCTTTACATGGATACATTTAAGTAGGTTTATACAAGTATGTGTCGCAACATTATAGCTGTGCGCGCCACACGCATAAGCATATCCAAAGTTATGGCTTATTATGGGTGCAGTTGTATGCATGTTACTGGCTTATATTCATCATATACGTATAATATTATGTACATATAGGCTATTAATTGTGTCTAAAGGCAGGGAAGAGCAACGGCACAAAGGCAGCCCCGACAACGCCAATAGCTGAAATCGGTGTGAACGCGTTCCCAAATACAGACTTGTATGTGTTTACATATGGATGAATATATTGTAAATATTATAAATAGTTGAACAAAAACCCTTACGTACAAGCCAACATTCCGGCCATCCAACAAACGAACTAACCAACCAACACGCTTTAGTTATAAATCAATCAAATGCTTCGTTATATGTGTAGCCACGGGCTTCAATTGGCACCAAAGCGAAACCGCGCGAAGATTATCTATAAGTAAAACCAAAAATATGCGCCAGCCAATAGTTGAAAAGAAATTCGAGGCACACAAGGACTCATTTTTTATTATTTTGTAGTGCTGTATTAGAAGATAGATATGAGAATGCTTGCAAAAGGGCCTTCTTTCCTCCCTATTATGCTATCATATAAATTTAAAAAATGATGTTTTGCTTGTGAAAGCATCCATGCCGTGCTCGCACCGGGTGCAAATGGGCCGCCGACCAGCTAACTGTCAACACCACACATCAAATGCCACACTTCCCCGACACACATAGCATACTCGCACTACAGCGTGGACGCATGGGAATGAGTGCGTGACTGGCAGTGTGTCTACTTTGTCGCGCATACTTGTATCGGTATGCCTTAATAGAATATTTAAAAAACTATCGTTAGTGCCACCATCACAACCAACATCGCATTACAGCAAACATAAGGCACAACAATAACATTTTAGCCACAAGCTAGACTTAACGCTTTTGCCTTAAAATTTAATTGCAGGCTTAGTGCGGCGGTGTACGCCTTAGCTGTCTTAAAAGCGTAATAAAATACTTTGTGGTTATGAGCTGAACTCCAGCTAGCATCAGCTTAGCTCAACTCAGCTCGGGATTGGCGTGATTTGGAGCGCGAGCTCATGTTATTGTGGCCGTTTGATTTGTTAACGCTGACGTGTATGTGTGGCATGGAAGAGGTGCGATATCGATTGCATCGCTCATTCAACTCGAAAATTGATTGATGCAGTTTATTATAGCCGCTCGGCACATAAATCAATATCGCTATGCTTGGTTGAGTAGAAAGATAGATCTGCCTATGTACATATGCATTTTTATCCCTACGTGTTCGTACCTCTGCAAGCATAAGAATACATACTTATACTTGTAAGTGTATTATAGATTTACATAGGTGTACCATTGCACAGAGTCTCATGTATGCTTAATCAAAATATCTATCTTTAAGATTGACTTGACTGGCGCTTGCATGAAAGATCTATAAATTTAATTAAAATTTCTTTTCTTTGATTTGAACTTAATGAATTGCATACGCTTTGTTGTTGCTTAGTTTAATGTTGTCCCATAGCCAATGGCGGTTGCGCCGCTCATCGAAGCGTATCGAATGTTTATATTAAGCAGTGGAATCTGAAATTGACAGGTGTGGCGCCTTAGCATTTAAATTTTTTACCTCTTAGCCATTTGTATTATGACTTATAGGCCTGCTTTAATAATACCCATATTTCAGTTATCAAGACAAATTTGCTTTCGGCTATAAATATTTTGATTAACGTTAACGCTTTAATTAAACGGATATGAGTGAGCTAATCAATGCTAAATAAACTTACAGCTATGTAAATAACTGTTTTAATTATTAGACAAACAAAAAATAAATTAAATACTTATTTTAAAATATATATAAATAACTAATGAGCTATGCTAGGTATTTCTAAACAATCTATGCATATCCATTTTCTCTGTTTTATGAAGCCAGGGTAATTTCTTTTAGCATTGAGCCTCGAAATAATTACGCGATATTATTTGTAGTTATGAATTATTAGTATTATGCCGCCGAACAATTCATTTTTCCATTCAGTAATATTTTTTTTAAATGGAGAACGTTAAATGATTCGTGAAAAAATCGACCTTTATTGAGTAGCTGCCATTTTATATATATTTGTATACCCTGAACAGGTATATTAAGTTTGTCACGAAGTTTGTAACACCCAGAAGGAAGCGTCAGAGACCCTAATGATCAGTATGTTGAGTTGAGTCGATTTAGCCATGACCGTCTGTCTGTCTATCCGTCTGTATATATGTATACGAACTAGTCCTTCAGTTTTTAAAGTATCGTTTTGAAATTTTGCAAACGTCATTTTCTCTTCAAGAAGCTGCTCATTTGTCGGAAATGACGATATCGCACCACTATAACATATAGCTGCCATAGAAACTGAAAGATCGGAATCAAGTTCTTATATGGAAAAAGTTCACATTTCACAATGTATTTTCACAAAAGTTGGAACAGGTTATTTTCTAAAGCAACCATGTAATCTCTGAAGAAATTGATTCAGATCGGTTAACTATAGCATATAGCTGCCATATAAACTGAACAATCGGAATCAAGTTCTTGTATGGAAAAAGTTCACATTTGACAAGATATATTTACGAAATTTGGTATGAGTTATTGCTTATAGAAATAATGCAATATCAGAAGAAATTGTTCAGATCGGATTACTATAGCATATAGTTGCCATACAAACTGATCGATCGGAATCAAGTTCTTGTATGGAAAAAGTTCACATTTGACAAGAAATTTTTACGAAATTTGGTATGAGTTATTGTTTATAGAAATAATATAATATCAGAAGAAATTGTTTAGATCGGATTACTATAGCATATAGTTGCCATACAAACCAAACGATCGGAATCAAGGGCTTGTATGGACAATTTCGCATTTGACGTGGTATCTTCACGAAATTTAGCATGGATTACTGCTTAAGGTAACAATATAACCTCCAAACAAATTGTTCAGAACGAATTACTATAGCATATAGCTTCCATACAAACTGAACACATAGGTACTAACAGAAATACACCTGTGAAGGGTGTTTAGCTTTGGTGCAACCGAAGTTAACGTTTTGTCTTGTTTTTTTTTTTTTGTTCTGTTTTGTGGGCTCATATGCTAACAAAATTTGTACTAATCAAGTATTTGTCATTGTTTTATTTTTAAAATGACCGCAAAGATACAAAACGTGACGACGAGAAGCAATTTACCCCTCACTCATCCATAATTTTATGAAAATTTATTAAATCTTTTAAATATATTTTGAGGTAAAAGTAGTATTACCTTCGGTTACAGGAGAGACGAAAGTGAAATGTCTTTGCTTCACAGTAAAAGACAAATGGGAGATGAACTAATGCTGTCGTCGACTCTATAAAATCTTTAGAACCAAAAAAACTGAAAGTCAGATTTTTAATGCAAGTCGAGTTTTTATTTTATTATTATGTGTTATTATATATGGACTTTTACTTTTTATCACCTAGAAAACATGTTGAAAGAACATAACAAGATTGAGATTATTATTTTTCTATTACATTATTACATACATATATACATTTGTAATTCATAATTAATAACATATGCTTATATTTACAATGAATCCTTTTAATTTAATACTAATACCATTCAATATAAATATGTTTAAATATTTTGAAAATTGAACGAACTATTCCAACAAAAAATTTTACAATTATAAAATCTTAGTTCTGTTAATTAAACTTAGACAACAACAACGAAAAGCCACTTTGTAATGAATATATTTTGTATATAATCTCAACTATATTGAAAAATAAAAAAAAAAAAAACTGTAATAGATTTACATAAGCAGCCAACTCTAAGTCCTATTGAATTCAACGCTAACAGAATGGGATTGATTTGTCAATACTCGTATCGGTACTTAGGCGGTGGCATGTGAGTGTTGATATGCCGCTGCTGTCGCCCACGGATTATGAGCGTGGTGATGGAAGGCGCCAGCACTGGCATAGCCTGAACTTGCGCTGAAATCGGGATAGGCGGTATACTCGGATTTCATGTGCAGCAGACCAGGATATGTGTGCGATGTAGTGGAGTGTTGTAGGTGATGATTAACAGGGGAGGTAGAACCGTTGGAGTCACCGGGCGAACTCATGGTAAGCCCATACTCGGCGGCCAACTGCGACTCACTTTGCATTGCGAGCGCCGCATAATGTTGGCTACTCGTTGCTGTTGTCGTTAAACTCGATTGCATTTGCTGTGGCTGCTGTTGCTGCTGGAGGTTAGGCGTTGCAGCTGTTGAGGTAGTTTCAGTATTGGTGTTGTTGTTGCTGACAGGACTGCCCTGCATTGACTGTTGTTGCTGTAATATGGCACTGCGACTAATTTGTTGTTGTTGTTGATGATGCTGATTGCTTGTATGGCTGTTCCACAAATCAAACGAGGCGCTACTCGATAAAGGTGAGGCTAAGGACACAGAGGAATTGGAAGCTGCTGACTGTTGCTGTTGTTGTGATCCAGAATGTTGTTGCAGACCTCCACTATAGAGACCAGCACCGGAAAGTGGATGTGTATGATGGAAGAGCGATGTGCTTTGGTGGTACAAATTCGAATATGCATTGTAGCCACCCATGGCATCTGGTTGTTCTGTCTTCATTTGCAGTTGTGTTGGTGTTGTTGTGGACGCTGCGAGTCTAGTCGCGGCTGTGGCTGAAGGAGTAAGCTGCTTCGTCGTGACATTGCTGTTGTTATTATTACTTGCCAACGACGAAACACCGGACTGACTCGCAGCCGATGATTTTGAACTGTTGAGACTGCTGCCAGTTGGCGTTGTCTTTTCCTGTTGATTATCCGAAACTTTCTCCGGCTTTGCTGCCGATGATTGTTGTTTAGCTTCTGCTGCAAGCGCTTTCTTACTTTTTTTGTCCTTAAAGTGCGTCTTTTTATGCTTGCTCAAATGATCACTACGAGAAAATTTCTTCGAACAGATTGGACAGGCGTACGGACGATAATTAGTATGCGTACGTCCGTGCCGTTGCAACTCATCAGAACGGGAAAAGCGTTTTCCACAGGTCAGGCACAAAAATGGCCGCTCACCGGTATGCCAACGCAAATGTGTCTTCAAATGTGATGCTTTGCCATAGAGTCGCTCACAGCCGGGTATATGACAGATATGTTGCTTTCGACCACGTTCATCTGGACCAACAATTGGTGGCAGACCGGACATTTCGTTCGCACAATTGGGGCATGTGCAACGAACCGAGCGACGCTGCAGTTGTGTCTGGAAGGCGATGTCGTCAAAGTTGAAACTTGCATATGCCTGACTCGACCAGGGCTGATAAAGTCGATCCTGGTGCGAAAACCAAGCGCCAGCGGCTGCAGCCGAAGCAGACATGCCAACGTTGCCGTAGTAATCCGAGGCGTATTGAGCGTACGGAAATTGTGTACTAGAGGCCCGAGAAAAAGAGAAAAATTTTAAATTTATAAAACGGAATTAGCGGAAAAGAAAAAAAAGATAAATCTGCCGAATATAAAACTGAACTAATATCATTATAGTAATTTTATACTAAAATAGCAAATTTTGCTAATACAACTTACCGTGTAGGCAACGCTGCTGCCGCTGAATAGGTGTTCCACGAATATGCTGCACTTGCAGCCGCAGCTGCACCTAAATCAGTATTCGATGCAGCGGCTGCGGCTGCCGCAGCTGCGCTAGCATGTGCTGCTACAGCCTGAGCGGTGCTCGGTGAGCCGGAAAGTGGCGACACCGACGATGAGGTTGCCGATGCAGGCGGACTCGAGGAAATCGAGGCAAATGACTGGGCGGGTGATGGAAATATGCTGGTTGGCGAGACAGACGCCGATGAAGGTCCCGAATGTTGGCTCGATATTGGCGAAGCCGTACCGGTAGAGGATGATTGTGGCGGATATTGCATTTCCATTTTCATGGCAAGTGCACTACAAGCGTCTGTGGAGGATGCTGCTATTGCAGATTTTTGTCCATAAAGCGAAGTGAAATTGCTGGCGCTTGTAGTGAAACCACCGAGATGTGTGTTGCTAGCGCTGGCATTATTACTCATTTGGCCAGCCAATGTTGAAAAATGTGTCGCAGATTGTGTAATTGTAGCTGCTGCTGCGGCGGCAGCGGTTAATGATGTAGCAGCACCAGGCTGTTGCTGTTGATGTTGGAGATGATGATGATGATTACTACCGATGGCCGGCATAGTCGCGGCGGCAGCAGCAAGTGAGGCGGTTGCGTAGGGATTTAAATAATTGCAGGCAGCGTCAATCATTTTTATAGTATTATAGTTTACTAATATGTCGCTTCACTGATTTGTTAAATATTTATTTAATACATACACTTGTTTCACTTTTTTTCTTTAAAGTTTAATCGTCTTCTTTTTTATAGTAATTGTCATTGCTCTCACGCGTGTTTTGATTTTGTTTTGTCTATTATTTATTATGTTTTGCTTTTATTCGTTCTTCTTACTGCATTATGGCACACTTTACACTTGTTATCATCACACTATGATTATAGGCCCTCGTTCGTGGTCGGTAGCGGGTGCACTATATAATTACGTGTTCTGTCGTTTTATTAAAGCTACACTGCCGGCAAAAGCGATTTTCTCCTTTTTGCATTCCGTTTTGAGTCAATTTTTTTTCATTTACTTCTGCACAAATGTTCACCGTTTTGCGCTTATATTCAATATTTTCATTTTTCTGTTATTCCAAATAATATCGTTCGCACACCAAAGCCGAATTCCAAAAGCACAAATGCACTAATCAATATTTTTCATAATTACAAGCTTTGTCCAAATTGTTGCTTTGGATATATACCTGTACGTTGCCGTTATAAAATTGCTCTGCCGAAACAGAAATGTTGGCCCAGTTGTTCACAAATTCTTATTTTATTAACTGTGACTGTTGTTGCTACAATTAACTTGATATAATTCGTAAAAACTTTGTGTCCAATGATGACGATGATGGTTGTGGACTCGAATATGGGACGTCCACGGACGTGCATACAATATAATGATGACGATCACAATGACGACGTTCTGTAAATTGCGCCGCAAACGCGTTCACTGCAATAATTACTGGGCTAGTAGTGTTGACGCCGAGTGTAGCTGTTTGTCGCAGAAGCTGAACACTGTTGTGCATGGAGATATCACGATACAACGATACGACTACGTACTACCAACACTAATTATCGTTGCCGACTGAATTCCAAAACGCAGCGAGAGAGTCCAAGCAGTGCCAAACGACCAAACGAACGTAGCACGAAAATCCAAAGACGAGTCAAGGCAACACAGAAAGCAATCCAACAAATACAAGCGGTGTGTATGCAGGGGAAATTGCTTACACAAATGAGTGAGTGTGAACGTGCGTGGCTCAGTGTTGCGGATTGGTGGTGGTTCATACCCTAGGTATGTTTGTTTGTAGTTGCTTAGTATTTTTGGTGGTTGTTTCTTGCCCTAGGAATATGTTATTTGTATGAATGTATGTACGTATGAGCAACTCTACACTCGACGAACTCAGTGTCGTAGAGTCAATAGTTCAAGGTGTGGTGCGACTATGAGTTACATATGTATAGTGCGTTGTGTCGCGTTAGACGGTGCGGTAGAGAGTGATACAAGTTTAAATTCACTGCGCGTATTTTATTAACTTGTACACACATATGTATGCGTTAGCACGTAGCAGTTGCGGTGCGAGTGAAATAGCAATAGTCGCAGTCGCGGCAGCATAATGGAAGGATTACTGTGAGAGCATGTTTGCAGCAGGCATTAGGTAGCGTAGCAGCAAGTATCATATACCAAAATTCAGAAAGTATTAATTTATTGCTTGCTGCTGGCTGCAGACGTTTTGCCGTTTTTAATAGTGTCTCTTTCTTACCTCCAAGGCATTATGCACTAATCTTTGTCGGACTAACTGACAAAAAGCGTCCTGCTACCTGTTCGATTTGTTATTCCATTAGTAAAACGGAGCGTTATGCCAAATTAATTCCATATAATTTTAAAAATTATTCGAAGCAACTCCATACTGACATTCGTTTTTGTAAGTTCATATGCAAACAATTATACTTTTTAATTTTGGTGTTACTTTTACTTTTCCATTCCTTCCCTTTATAACGTAAACAATCAAATATTAGAGTTAATGGCACTTCGCCAAAAAAGACAAAACACAGCGACATACTGAATTGTATAAATAGTTTTTTGAAAATATGAACATTATGTCAGTTCATATGTTGACCTTCAATTCTAGGTCATTTTACGCGAAGGGTCTAGCAAATTTTTCAACAGTCGGCGTTTTATAACCTTTTTGCTTTTTTTTTTTTGTGTGTAGAGTATAGTACTTCTCAAAAATACTTATGAATGCTTAGAACAATGTACATGCGCTAACATCAAATTCATTTCTACTTCTTTTATACGTATTAAGATGTGCTTGAAAAGTTTCCGAAAGCTAAAAATATATGCTTGAATCCACTTGTCCAATAAATGATTTAAAAAAACACACTACTTCTAAATACTACATTGTTCTTCTAATTTTAAATATTTTGAATAATCATATGATACATATGTATGTACATAAATATGTATCTACATAATACTATGGTAACAAAGGCTCATTCTAGAACTCATTGTTAAATATTTGATTGTTTAACTTACGGCCCAATAATATTAAAGACATCCTAATATCATATAAAGTTTTTTTTTTTAATATTAAAATATCATTTTATAAACAATAAACAACACGTGCCTCTCTTGAAAATATTCAATCTCTCAATAATTACACTGACGACATAAAGAACCAAAAGTGATACGAGGAAAATGAATGACAAGCATAGACATGTAAAACTTCTAAACATTAAGCAAAGCATATTAACTATGCAATAAAAATATTAAAACACAAACAAAAAGACGTTGGCAACAAATAATGAAAAAATGGGAAATAAAGCACACAAATTCGAATTGTAATAAATTTTGTGGTTGCGGCCCAATGAAATAACTGTATTTAAAGGGGCGTTACCAAACACCGATGTAGTAGCAACAACACCAAGCACTGCCATACAGCCGCAACAGCTGCTGGCACCGACTAATAATCACAGCTGCAAGCATACAAGCGCATTTGTGTATGTGAGTGAGAGAGAGACAGTGAGAAAATGAGCATAAGACTTGGCGGAGAGACGATGCTTTACCATTAGTATTGTTGTTACACCACTCAATTTTGACTGACCTCCTCCACGCCATCCCTTATTTCCACCCACACTGGAATGAGGCATCACTCCATCACTCCACGTGCTAGCTCCATTTTATCCTTATACTTGGCATAGGTGTTGCTAATAGAACTCTCAGTTTCACATATATATACATGCATGCGTATGTACGTTCGTATATTTACATACATTTCAACATAATTTTAACTAAAAAGTTAATAGTTTAAATACGATGGAAATATGAAGCGCGAAATTGTATAAATATGCTCAAAACTTTTAAAAATTAGATATATTATTTCTTAGACCCATACCCAAAACATAAAAGAAGAAATCAACGCTTCTTTAACCAATAAAAAAGAATGAAAGTTCGCATTAAGACCAATTTGGTCTTATAGGTACATATATCTCATTATTTAAAAAAATCAAGAATTATAAAGGGGCAAGGAATTTTTGAAAAGCAATTGGGCTGCACTCCTCAAAGTACCATTTTTATCCGGCATTTGTATTTACATATATGCTTAACTTAAGTGCTCTTCTCGTAATCTACTAAGATTTGGCATCAAATTCACAGCTTTTTTATTCACTCTCCACAAGCAACAGTCTGTATCTTCACTTGTGCCTACGCCAACCTGTAACTTCAATTGACGTGCCCACCAAATGTTGACTGCTCCCAAGTATAAAGTAATACCGAACTTGCTCCATACTGAAGCGAGCGTACGTTCAGGTGTAGGGCCAGACATTCGGTTACGAGTCGTTCTTGTAATAGTGAAGCTAATGGCGTGTGCGTAACATTTAATGAAACGGAAGATATAATCATACCAAAACTGCTTGCACTTATCGTATTTAATGGAATGCCTTTCACACCGATATAATTGAAGTGGAAAACACAATAAGCTCGTAGTACAAGCATCTAACAAGAGCGAAACAAACAGTAACCAAAATAGAGATGATAAAAAGAAAGAGTTCATCTTAATGTTGTTATTGTTGTTAACAAGATTTATGACGACTGGGCTGATTGAATGTCTGCTGACTGGCCAAATGAGTGCTTGAATGTTTGAATGCCTACGTCTGCTTCTGGTTTGGTAGCAAGTCGAAATGCTTGGCTCACTTTCACAAGGAGCCTCATAGGTATCGGCATGTAGTGAGTATGTATGTAGAATGATTGATAGTAATCAATTATTGTTGTAGCTATTTGTTAAAATACTGCGGCGCATGCAAGTGAGCAGTCAGTGATCTATGGGAAATATTTTGCGTTAAAACTAGGACAGTGGTTGGAAAGTTTGTAGTGCTGTTGAGTATGTTACGCGTGCTTAAGATCATAAATTAATGATAAAACTCTCAAGCACATGAACATTGGTACATATGTTACGGGTTCATATCATATAAGACTCCTTTTTTGTGTACTTTGGTCTTATGTACATACTAACAGGCTTGTTTAATAGGTCACACGTAGAAGCTGTGTATTCATCAATTTATACGTACTTCGTTGAGTATTTTACTTGTGCGCCAATTATCAATGCTCATAGCTTTATAAGTCCTTTATCAAAAATACTTTTTTATTGCCTTTTCATAATTTAGACGATGCAAAACATTTCTACAATGATGGATTGGTAATTTTACACCTTCAGAGAATTTAAGATAGATGTGTTGCTTTAGTATTCTAAGAATTTTATTGTTAAAAATTATAAGTTTTATTTGTTAAAAAACAAATAATAAAAGTAAACAAGTAAAAAGATTTCAAATCAAAATTTTAATATAACATTTAATATAATTTAATTAAAAAAAAACTTAAAAACTGTAAAAAAAAATTTTCTCAAACCGTTTTTCAAATTTATACTTAAACTTTAACTTGAAAAGCAAGATAGGGCTAAGTTCAGGTGTAATCGAGCTTTTTATACTATCGCAAGCTCAAGCGACATATGCGACTTTATATTTATTTGTTAAAAATTTAAATATACAAAAGTTTTGTCCACTAATAAAATAAAAATTTAGACATAATAGTATATGTATACATATACAGTGCGGATTCAGAAGTGGGAAATTCATAGTTTGTTGCTTCCAGAAAAAGTATATGTTTTGAAAACGAAAGAAATGAAAAATCGTATTAACTGCTCGATAGGTTGATTCAAAGGTATTTTGAATAATGACAACGTCGTGTGACGTTTGAAGCTCAAACGTGAACTTGATCACTGGCAGTGCCATTGGGGGCCAGAAGAAGACAACAAGTTATTTTGTGTCTGCATCCATTAAAAGTTATAGTCCGGTTTTGAGATTTGTTGGGCGTAAGATTTAATAACTTGAGATTTTGTGACAAGTTATATTTTGATATGTTAACTTCATTGATGTTTGTAGTTAGTGTAAAGTGAAAGAATTGGAATACATTTGAAAGATTGTTATATGGCAATAAGGCGTGTTACTCCTATTTTCACAGTGTATGATAGAAAGCTAATCTCACAAACCAAACTTAAGCTTTAACGGTTTTAGGAGGTGGGGGGTACGCCCACCTTAAACAATAATTTAATATAAAAAATTTATCGTAAAAAGTGTTCCTCGCTACTGCGAACCACTGCACCAAATTATAGTTTTGTATCTGAACTTAGTGCTTTGTTGTGGCACTTTCTAAGTTTTCATTTAATGGCGTTCTGTGGGCATGGCAGTGGTCCAATTACGCCGATCTGTCGATCTCCGGTACCAATAAACACATGTATGTCCTCAGTTTCGTCAATATATATATATCTCTATTTTTACTCAAATTATCGCTTACACGGATAGACTGTTACCGGGATTTCCTCTTGATACCGAGCATTTATATAATATGTAATCCTATATCTAACTCGATTGGCTTTATACTATTTTACCCTATAGCTATGTGTGTATGTGTGGTATTGATCTAAGTCCGAAATTAGTAAGTGATCGGCTGTTAAGTTCTTCACAAAGCAATAACTCACAAACAAATGAAATCGCTGGGGTAAGAAAAATGAGTTATTAAATTTTTTATTTTAGGAAAACATAATTTGGATGAAGGGTAAGTGTAAAATATATATAATAATATATTTTAAAATTGTTCAGTCATTTTCTACTGTTTTGGGGATTTACATGTTTTTCATGGATACGAAATTATTTAATGTATTTGTCAATTTCTAAGTTTTTTTTTAAAGAGAAGTGATATTAATTGTCGGCACAATTAAAGCATATGCGGTGCACAATTCATTAACTCTTTCGTTTTGGCTTAGGGCGACACTACTGCTTAAATCTACAACAAACAACTGCAAATTTAACGCCTACATATATATATTC